CCCGGAGGCGGGCGGCGAAGGCCTGGGCGCGGCTTGCTGCGGCGGCCCCGTCGGCTCCAGCGTGCACCAGGACCCCGTCCTCCTGTTGGTCTATCCAGGGCGCGGCGTTCCCAAGACACGCCACGGTCTGCGCCTGGAGAGCGCTGATGCCCAGCGGCAAGGGGGCTCGTTGGTCTGCCGTCGTCGCTTGTGTCTCGTCGAGGTCGACGGCACGGCCGAGGCGCGCAAGCTCTGCGGGCGCCAGCTGGGCAGCCGCAGCGGCGCGCCCTAGCGAAGCGAAGACCATGATGTCGTCCAAGTAGGAGTAGGAGTACATCCGGCACTCCGGCGAGAGCTGCTGAAGCCTGCCGTCGATTTCGCCCAAGACCCCCGCCACGGTGATCGCGAAGAAGGCTGGCGAGAGCGGGCGCCCCTGGTCGACCCCGCTAGTCGCCCGAACGGGCTCCGCCTCACTGTCGCTGCCGCAGAACAAGTGCGCGGTCTCCCCCCCGAGCCAGCAGCGCGCCAACCTGAGCAGAGCAGGCGCCCGGGCTCGTAGGCCGTTGAGGATCTGCTGTCTGGGTTTGCTGTTGTAAGCGTTGCTGCAATCAACCGCGAGGACCACGTCCAGGGGGTTGGACTCCGTCAGCGCCGAGATACATGTGTGCATCACCTCGCAGCCCCGTGCTTTCCCGGCCGCAAAACGGCGCGGCCCGCGCCCGTTTTTTTGTTGTCTTCTTGGAAGACGTCGCAGGCGGCCTTAGCGGCTAGACGACGGACGCAGCGCACTTCCACAGGCAATTGGCCGGACCCCCCCGTTCCGCTAGCGGAGAGCCACGAGGCGCGCGCTGAGGTTGGCCTGCGTGGCTGCTGGGGATGCAAGACCGCATAGGAAGAGGACCGTCACTTTGGCGACCGAGCGCAGCGCCGTCGAATCCTTCAAAAGGGGCGCGCCAATGCTCGAACCGCCCTCCACCCACTCGGCCCAGGGCCGGACAGGCGTGGACCCCTAGCAAAGTGGCGCTTCACAACCGCAACCAAGTCGTTGCAAGTGTCCGCGTCTGGCAGCGCGGCGTCTGCGGCGTCCGGCGGGGCGGCGCCCGGAGGGAAGAGCGCCTGTAGGTCGGTCAGCACTCCTTCCCCCGTGGCCACTGTGGCCATAGCCTTGCTGACCAGACCTTCGCCGACGAGGAACTCCACCGCTTTGGCGTCCTTTGCGGGCGGGTCGGCCCGCCGGGCCCTCGGCGGCCTGGCCCCTGCGCCGGTGCGCGCTTCCCCCCAGAGCGCCCCCCAATCTCCAACCTCCGCCAGACGCAATCTTCTCATGAAGATGTCTGCGCGGCCTCCTTTGTTTTTCCCTGCTTTTCTGCCCCCCTGGCCTTGCTGGGCTTAAAGAAGAGGAGCTGGTCGAAGAAAGTGAAGGCCTTCTCTGCGCGCCGTAGAGTAGCCGCGTCTCCGCTTTTAGCTGTCTGCAGGAGTCGTTGTCAACATCGCCACCAAATTATACTGCGCCCGCCCATGTCGCCGACTCGCACTGAAATGCCCGCTGGGAAGTGCCCGGCGGCCAGCGCCACCGCGGCCGCGCCGGTCGTGCCAAACTAACTGGCCGCTGCGTGCGCGTGGCTGGCGCGGCCGCGCAGGTGCACCAGCCAAAGCCAAGCGCATCGAATTTGCCACCGCATGGCTTTGGCAAACCACGTTGCGGATGCGTGGGTGGGATGTTTGCAAGCGCGTGGGATGTGTCAACCCTTAGATTGCAGCACATAGACAGCTCCACATGCACAACGCACGTTGCAACATCTATATATAAATACACACAGCGCCCATCGCATGTGGCACCACATGCGTTGCACATTGTAGATGGCACCACCAATAATGCGAAACATAAAAGCATTACGTAGAATGCATGGATTGCGTCACGTAGATTGCTCCACATGTGTTACACAACCTAGATTACCCCACATAGCTTGCACATCATATATTTGAAACGTGTAGATAGTCCTTCCAGGGAAAAAATGTGATCGGTCCCCCCCCCCACACGGTTTGCCCGCCCGCCGTGGGGATGTGCAAATTCGATATGATTCGGACCTGACGTTCATTTTACACGCAGATTCGTACCACCCCAGCCCGAGTTGCATCGACACTCCCCTGAGCCTTTGCGAAAAGACTATGCGCGGACACCCGTTCATCAAATTGGACAAAGTGCACGCACAGCCCCGGAAACAGGTAAACAAAATCTGAATGTGCAACGCGATGTTCAAAAAAACGTATGCGCGCGCACGTGCAAATCTACATAAGTTCTTCCACATCTCATCACATGCGACCAAGCGGGCTTCTCGCGCGCGCATCTCGAAACCATTCGAAGGCCCTTGCGCGCGTGCTGGAGGGGGGGGGGGGGCGCGATCCCTGTCAAAGAACACCGCGCGGGCCACTCGCGCGCGTCGGCCGCGCGCGCGTGTCGAATTCTGTCCAAAACCTTCAGCACCGACGCGTGGACTCCGTCATCGCCACGGGCGTGACGAGCATCGGCGCCGGCATTGGCCTTGCCGTCGTCATCGTCATTCTCGTCACCATCATCGCAAACGTCATCATCATCATCAGCATCATCATCATCATGCCTACCGTTGTCACCGAGTCGGAGACTCGGTGACAACACCCGAGATGGCCAATCCAGTTCTGGCCAAGGCACGCAAGACGACAGAGATGAATGGTCTACACTATCGTCGTGTTGACTTTCCACTGAGACTCTGCAGCATCCATGACTGCGGTCATGCCAATAAGAAGAGCAGCTATCCTTGTGAAGGCAAGTTTGTCATGATGGTCAACGGCTGTATGAAGATTGGCACACCCGAGTGTCTCACAAGTGAGATGTTGTCTCGAGTCGGAGGCTATGCTCACACGCTCTTTTACAGTGCTCGCAGGGCCTCAAGGGTCTCGCATTCTACGTCACACGCAGAGACTCACTGTCAGCAATTGGATGCACGCAAATGGGACAGCTTATAGCAGCAAGGATTACGGAGATGTTCTGCCGCATGGTCCTACCGCCACGCACGACCATTACAGCACACGACATGTTGCAATTGAGCGTCTCGGACATGACCGTCATTCCTCATGATGCAGTTACCGACTGTATGGACCTCTTCGAGCTGATCACTGGCGGCCGTGGCATACCGTCAGACAAGCCACAGAGAGTAGCAAATCATGGCCCTGCGCGAAGATAGAGTTCACCATCGTATACGTTCCCTTCTACATGTTCCGACTAGGGTGATGTTGGCAGATGGTCTGACAAAGGAGGGCTGGTTCGACCAGCTGCTGATCTACTGCACCACAGGACCACAGGCAAGTGGAAGGTCACCCTCGTCGAGGGCCAGGCTGTGCGACACAAGAGAGCTACACTACACTCGGCAGCCAGCGAGAAAGAGATCGAGAACCTCCAGAGCTAGCTGGACTACGACGCCAACTATGACAAGCGTTGCTGTCGTGGCCGATCACCCGCGAGATACTGATAGGCACTGTGTGCCGTGGTGAGGAGAAATGAGCGTCTGTTTGTGCTTTTGCTGCTCCTCGCTCGTCTCAACCTCCAGCTTCCTCGATAAAACTCAAAAGCACAGGAGTCTCATTGAAGCCGTAGCAAGCCAACCTGAAATCAATAAAGCATAGTTGCATGTCACACTGTAAAGCTGTGTTTGTAAGAGTCAAACCGTGAATCGCTCCACGCTCCGTTATACTGTTTGTTTTCCACGGTTCTATAAATGATTCCCCAATCAGAGCTTGCCTCTGAAGGGGTCCTGGCGGATTCATATGGTTAGGTTAGGTTTGCCGCCGATTTTCGCCGCACGCCCGGGCGCCCGGGTGCCCTGGGGTGCCCGGGGTGAGGTTGGCCGCCGATGTTCGCTGCACGCCCGGGTGCCCGGGGGGTGCCCGGGGGGTGCCCGGGTGCCTCCTGGAGGGCCGCTGACCTAGATTTCTAAGTCAGGCCGAACTGTCCTAAAACATCTTAGGTCAATCTAAAGTGTTCTAGGTGGAACCTAATATTCTAGGTCGGCGCACCTGCGCATTCGATCCGACCGCTTGGGCGATCGGGTTGATGTTATTCACGTGCATATGCATGCGCACCTAGACATACATATGCACATACATAAACATGTGCACTCGCATTTACACTTACAGTTATGTTTACATGTACTCAGACCTGTTACAACTTGCGGCTTGCAATCACAGTAGTAGTTGGACGACACTTACATGTAAGGCTACATGTACATGTACATGTACGCATCTATGCGCGCGTGCATACTCATGTTTTGTGCATACACATACACATGTACATATACGTATACAAATGCGTAAAGCATGAAACACTAATAACCATACCGATATACGCACACACGCGTATGTATGTTCATAGCGTGGCATGGTGCGGCATTGCATAGCCTAGCATTGCATTGGGGGCACCTCGCACGCCTTGGGCCCGATCCCAGAAACATTCGGGTCGGAAGATTGCTCGCAAGCCACGTTGCCCGAAGGGCCAGCGAGTGCCTTGGGCCCGATCGCAAGGGCGTTCGGGTCGGATGACAGCCCACGCGTCGGATGGCCCGATTCGCGTCAGCAATCACGTGCCGTCGGCCACGCGCCGCGCGGATTGGTCGTTCAAGCTGTCGGTTCGGGGAATGCGTCTCACACGTTGCGGACTCAACCTAGAGGCGTTCGGATCGGCGGGGCGAAGCGTCGCATTGCACCACATTGCGTAGCATTGCGTAACATTGCGTAGCATTGCGTAGCATTGCGTTGCATAGCACTGCACAACTTGACATAGCTAGGTTAAGCATAGGTTTGCTACTCATGGCTTCGCATCCTCAGCGTGCTGTTCCGTCGTCTCAGTGTTCCTCTGATGGACATGCCTTCGGCCCTTTCCCTGATTAGGCTTGCCGCACTCCGTACTTAGCCATTTGGCTGCTCGGGAGAACGCGTGCATCGTTGCAGATATCCGAAGACTGCAGACTACACTTCAACTGCTTGGCGAGATGGCACCGAAGGGAGTGAAGGGAGTGCAGGGCAAGTTCGCCAAGGCCAAGGCCAAGGCGGCGATGAATAAGAAGCCTGCGGCAGCACCACCGATTCGCCCGAGGCCTTCGGCAGCGGACGTCAGCGAGTTGGAGGGCCCCGTGCCCACCTCTGCGGACAGGCGCAGGTTCATGCAGATCGTGAAAGCAGGAGGTGCCCACCAGGCGATCTTGGACGACATCAAGAGCATCCAGGACCTCGGATACGGCAAGAACAAAATGTCCAGACTGAACAAAAAGATCAGCGCTTGGGTCGAGCAGGGCTTCGACCATCCCACGTTCCAGGACACCATCCAGTACAGTGAGAGCAAGAAGAGGGCGGAGCGTAACAAGGCGATGCCCTGGAGCGTCTTGAAGGCGAAGCTGCTCCACAACTGCGAGGAGGCAGCCATCGCGGCGCTCGAGGAGGGCGACGTGGTGGCCGTCACCAACCCAAAGGACCCTGACGGCAAGCCCTAGTACAGGTACGACGACATCATCGTGGAGCACGGCCAGGACATGCGCCGCTCCCGCGGCTTGACGGTAGCAGGCAACGTGTCTGGCGACGTATCGGGGTTCCTGCTCAATATGGAGAGCTTCTTCGAGAGCATCGAGGACGGCTACGACCTGAGCACCACTGACCCGCACGTCTCGAAGAAGACCGCCGCCATCACCGACTGCTTGCCTTGCGCCGACGACGACCCGATGACCACAGCGCTCAAGAAGGTGAAGATCGCATCGGGCAACCTGTCGAAGCTCCGCCTCAAGGTCCTCGAGTGCACGGGCAGCACGCACGGCAGCAAGCACGACGCGTTCGTCAATGCGCACTTGAGCGACAAGGAGTCTGTGATTCAGGCTCGGCGGCAAAACATACTGCAGCTTAGAAGCCAAACCAGCCATACTATTACGCATACAGCATACATATTTGCATACATAAGCTCACATTATTCGAATATGGTTATTTATACACAGCTACACGTGCACATGTGTGAGACACCACATAAAATAAAACACAAAAACAAAACCTGGCTAGGCAAACCAATTGCCCCCCCCAGCCCGCCCCCCCCCCCCAAGAAAAGGGAATACCGGCGCAATCCTCTAAATTAATCTGCCCGAGGGGGGAGGCGGGGACGGAGCGCTGGGAGGGGGTGGAAAGGGGGTCGGAGGGAGGGGAGGGGGAGGAGGAAAGGACACGGGGAGGGAGAGGGGGAGGGAGGGGGAGGGGGGAGGACGGGGGACAGGAGCGCCCCCCCTGGAGGCAATCCTGGCGAAGTACGACACCCTCCTGCGCACCAAGAGCCTTCCAGGGGCCACATCGGCCACGACGCCTGCCCTGATCAAGCAGGCCATCGCGATCGACAGCAAACTGTGCCAGCAGATCGCGAGTGCGATCCAGGTGGCCAAGACGATGGAGGAGTAGGCTGTTGGGGATGGCGGCTCTTTCTCGTTGGACCGACGTGCCAGTCGAAACTGAGCGCGGTCCGACGATCCCAGGGTTCGAACTTCGATGATCCAAGGGGTCGAACTTCGACGATTCCAGGGTTCGAACAATCCCAGGGCTCGAACTTCGACGATCCCAGGGGTTCGCATTTCGACGATCCTGAGAGTCGCACTGCGACGATTCCAAGGTTCGAACATCGACGATCTGATCTAAACGCGTCGGGCCTCGCGGGTCGGCGCCCACCGCGCGCGCATGGATACTTGCGCAATGCCCTTCGTTGCACCGCAGTGCCACCTGTAGAAATCGAGCTCCAGGAGGACGAGGAGGAGGAGGGGGGAGAGACGTTCCAAACGGGCCATGGGCCATGGATGAAAGGAAGGAGTTGGGAGGAGGAGGAGAAGGAGGAGGAAGGAGGTCACGTGATCCAAGGGTAGAAGGAATGGAAGGAAGGATGAGGATGAGGAGGATGTCACAAGCTTGGGTCTAGGATGGGAGGAGGCGGGAGGAGTAGGAGGAGGAGGAGGAGGGAGGAGGAGGTCACATGATGTGAATGTTCTAAGATTAGAACACGTTGCTTGCGGGGTCGGCCCCTCGGAGTTGCATTAGTTTGATTGCAGGCTACCAAAAAAAAGAGTGAATGCCTCTTCTTGGTGACCTGCAATCATGTCTGATGGTCACGTCTATTGCTTAGGGGCATCTGATGGTCACGTCTATTGCTGAGGGGCGTCTGGTGACATCAAATCTGGAATCACGGTTCCCTGGGGCGTCTGATGGTCACGTCTATTGCTTAGCACTCTTTCCGACTCCAAATCTGAATCCTCATCCTACTCCTCATTGCCGCCCACCTCGTCGCCCTGGATGGTTTCGAGGGCCCTCAGTGGTTAATTTCACGCCCCCACCCTCGCACAGCTCTTTGAAGGCCCGCATGAGTTCTCCGAAGGCCCGCAAGAGCCCATGAGGCGAACAAGCATCTATTACACTATCCTCCTCCTCCTCCTCCTCCTCCTCCTCCTCCTCCTCCTCCTCCTCCTCCTCTTCCTCCTCCTCCTCCTCCTCCTCCTCCTCCTCCTCCTCCTCCTCCTCCCCCTCCGCTCGGCAGTCATTTGGGCTCGAGAATGGATTCGGGCAGTTGGCTCGACGCCCTCGAAGGCCATGCGAGTCGAAAGAAATGCAGAGTTACCCCGCCAACCCAAGCACGGTCCGCTCTAGGCGAGAGTCCCACCAGCCCTCTGGGCGTCGGTGGTTTAGGGCGTTTCCTCTTCCACCCCTCCCTCTTCCCCTTCGGGGAAGGGTTTACCCCTCCCCCTACCCCCTCCCCACCGACCTGAACAGGAGGGGCGGGGAGCGGTCAGAGCGTCCAAAACGGCCTCGGCGAGGAAGCCAAAATCATTGATTTTACTCTGGCGTGGGCCCCATTTTGGCCTTCTGAGGGGGCAGCGCTAATTAAAGCCCCCCTCTTCTTTGATCGATTTCCTCCACGATGGCCGCAAGAGGCCCCCAGGATGCCCCAAGAGGCCGCAGGATGGCCCCAAGATGGCCCCAAGAGGCCCCCCAAGAGGCCCCCAGGAGGCCCCCAAGAGACCCCCAAGAGGCCCCAAGAGACCCCCCAGAGGCACCCAAGGTGCTCCCAGAGGCCTCGGCGATAATGTCAAACCATTGTTTGCACTAAGGTTTTAGCCACATGTTGGCCTCTTGGGGGGGGGGCACTGATTAAGATGACTCCAAGAGCGCCTCGGAGAGCCCAAAATGACCTCCAAGATGGCTCAAGAAATCCCAAGATGTCTCATACTGGCTTCCTCTGTGTGCTGTCCACTTCCCCGATCGAGGCAATCCCACCAGCCCTCTGGGCGTCGGTGGTTTAAGGCGTTTCCTCTTCCACCCCTCCCTCTTTCCCTTCGGGGAGGGGTTTACCCCTCCCCCGGCCCCCTCCCCGTGGACCTGGACAGGAGGGGCCGCGAGCGGTCATAGCGCACAAAACGGCCTCGGCGAGGAAGCCAAAATCATTGATTTCATTGAGATGTTGGCCCCATTTTGGTCTCCCGAGGGGGCAAAGATGGCCACAAAAAGCGCCCAGGAGGCCCCCAAAGGCCCCAAGATGGCCCCAAGAGGCCCCAAGAGGCCCCCAGGAGGCCCCAAAGAGGATCCCGAACGGCCCACAGAGGCCTACCCGAGACACCCAAGACGCCGAAAAGCCCCTCAGGACGACCCTCTACTTTTACGACGACATGGGAGCGGTTACGGATGAAACTGGTTTCACAGGTGGGGAGTATCCACGTGTGGCGGGTGCGACCGCACCAGCAACACCGAAGCCCTGACTGGTACCGGCGTACCCGCTAAAAGATTAGTACATTCCTTGCTCGTCGCTGCAGTGTCCAACTGCCTCTTGCCTGCTGATTAGCATGGCCTGTCGCTACAACGGTGCAGCTCGCTTGATGCGGGCTGGCATGCGCTGTGCGTTGGAAGACCCTGAGGGCGGTTCTGAAGTGAGGCCTCGCACTGATCCAAAGCTGAGGTCTTACAGACAAACAACATGCGTCGTTTCTGGACGGGCTGGTGGGGACACGCGAAGCGTCTAGAACTTGTTGGTTGAGTTCGGCCACGGGCACATTTCGGCATCGCAGGTCCAGAGGTTTGCGAGACTCGCATGCGACGACATTCAGCGATCGGGGGGTGCTCCCAATGCGATGTTGGGCAAACTAGCTTCGCTGGGCACGCACGGGACGTGGTCGGGCCACGCCCGACAGGAGTTGTTGAGATACAGTGCCAAACTTATCCCAACCATGCTCGCGCCGACGACGTTCACGGTGCCGCTCCTCGTAACCAAAGGCCCCAATAAAGGAGAGCACGAGATAGATACCGCCATCGTGGAGCCACACAGGTGGATGAATTTCCTATACACATGGTTCCCAGACGAGTTCGAAAGAGTCATCAGGGGACCAACTAGAGCGTTGGAGAAATTCTGGGATAGCTTTCGCATCGACGACCCTCGACGCGCACACATGCCCGCCTTAGCCCGTCACGATTTGCGCACTAGAGGGATCCCAGTTTGCTTGTATGGCGATGGTGTTCCATGCGTGAAGGGGCAGACGTTCGTGGCCACAGCCTGGGAATCACTGACTGCAATTGACGACGTCTCGGCCACCGACAACATTCATTACATCGGCGGCTACTGCAGCCACATCGAGGTCGTTCAACACGCGAATGCTGGGGCAAGCACAAAGGAACGTTTGTGGCAACCTATCATAATATCATTCCTGGCGGCCGAATCTGGAGTGTTCCCAGACGCAGATTTGGAGAACGCTGGTGAACAGATTGCTGGTGGCTACTTCTTAGCTGTGGTTGGGATCAAAAGCGATTACGAATATGTTTCAACTTATCTAGACGTGCCAGGCCATTGCGCTGCAGCTCATCCTTGTAAAGACTGTGAATGCACCCTGGCGGAGGGCCCACTGAACTTTCGAAATGCGCTGCCTGGGGCCCCTTGGAAAGCGACGGGGTTCAGCATTAGGCCCGTGGGGGCTTGGCGCAATCATTGCAGGACAGTTGGAACGAAACCAATACCAATCTCTGCCGAGCGTGATCGTGGAGGCCTTGGTCTGACAAACATGTTTATAGTTCTGGATGTGCTTCAATACCTAGATCCGGGGATATCGGCGCACATATGCGGGAACGTGTTGTGGCATCTGGTATTTACCGATATTATCGGCGGTGGTAGCGCCCACAATAAGATGTCAAGGGTTGCAGATTACATATACGAAGCGCACCGCAACGAACAAACGCAATCGCAGTTCACCAAAATAAAGTTTGGAGATTTCTGTGACCCATGCAAGCCAAACTCAAACTTCCCGATTCTTGGTGGCAAAGCTGGCCAGATACGCCATCTGCCCCCCATCCTCAGTAAGTTGTGGCATTCGGTTGCGAGGCCAGGCAATTCATATGAGCAGCGCGTTGCCAGAGTCCTGGCCAACATGAAAACAGTGTACGAGCGCATGCCATCTAAAGATACAGATGGCGACCACTGGTTTGTGTATCCAATACCGATCGTTGAACGAATCCAGGATTGTTTTGACAAAATGTTGTTGCACTATGCTTATTTGTGCAAGAACAGCTCAGATGCTGACCCGCCGCGCATGCTGTGGAACATGCCGACTAAACTTCATCACAGTTGGCATTGCGGTGACCAGGCCAAATGGCAGTCGCTGCGTGTGATGTGTTATTATAACAGTGAGGATTTCATGGGCCTTGTGCAAGGCTTGGGCGAATCAAATCGCCATGGCCTCATTGCCGCGAAACGGTCGGTCGGCATCGCACAGAGTTATATCGCTGGCAGGTCACTGCACATGCACTTTGATTCCCTCGGCCGTTTGCCGAGCAGCGTTGGAACAAACACCCCGAGCACAAGGAGAGGTGGGAGGGGGGGCGGGGGAGGGAGGGGAGGAACGGGAGCGAGAGCTGCGCGCGACGAGTTTCTGCATATTTCTGGCTCCGCGCAGAGGCCGCATATTTTGACAAGACAGGTGCTCATGTTAACAAAACATGTTTTGAAACGAAAACATGTTTTAACAAAACAGGTGCATGTGTGAACAAAACATGTGTTGGGCCGAAACCAGAGTTTAACAAAACAGGTGCACGTTTTCATAGAACGTACAGTTGCCAAACCACAGGTTATATCAAATCCGACAGTTTAGAAAACACGGTTTAACAATTCCTGCAGCCTAAAAGCACGTTTTAATAACATGTGCATGGTGCTAGGCCTCAGAACCCGCATAAATAGATAACATGTGGAATCGTTCGCTCAACTAGCACGAACTCGTTTTATCAAAACCAGCACCTGTTTTAACCATACAAGGTTTCCTGGGATCGTTCGTGTTGTCAAAATCTGCACCTGTTTCAACAATGCGTGGTTTCCTGGGCCCGTCCGGTTTATCAAAATCTGCACCTGTTTTGACACAATCTGCGGGTTGTGATCGAGCTCAATT